AGGATCATTTGATGAAATCTTGTGAATAGCCACTTTTGTTGAGGGTTGTGTAAAGATGTTTCTCTTCTATTCTCCTCAAGGTAAGGGTATTGAAGTGCTTCCTGGCCGTTTTGATTAATGCTTGTATACAACTCATTTTGTATACTGTCGTAATTGAGTAATAGATTTGTGTGAGTTGATTGTCTGTGCACTTGAGTTTCTAATTTTCTAGTGGTTGTCCAGACAAGGACTAAGTAATTAATTATCTGAATAGAGAATAAACTATTAACCAGGAAGCAACACAGTATGATGGTGCATAATTCTCCGATTTTTTTTGAAATACTTGTTCACCTTGACATGATTTCTGCTTGTTACGCTTACTGGTCATTTCTTCCAGTTCCATATTTTCACGGAACTGCCTAGAAATCATGAGATCCATGTAGTGTGAATTTCATCTTTGATAGAAACAGAGTTGGCAAAACTTTTTCAGTTTATCACTCGTCAAGTAATATACGTTTTATTCTCTCAAGCTACTTCAACCTATAGTCTAGAAAACGGTAAATAAAAATAATTCGATAGTTTATGAGTTAGACAAATTATCAGGGTTATCTTTGTATCTTTTTATCTTCCAGATCTTATTCCTATCGTGATGAAAAAGGTGTATACTGACGATTATTTCTGCAGTTGATTATAAGTCTAACCAATAATTTTTGTTGAACTCACTTAAGTAACCTCGTTCTCTAGGTATTCGACCCAATTCTGCTTTAAATGTGCAATTGTAAAAGCTTTCAAAATGAGGCAAAGTTACATTTCAGTGTTTCTTAATTTTCACCAGTTTTTAAAACCGTCATCTAAAGTTGAAATCTACCACAAAATCATTCAAGTATCAAATTGCCCAAGTGGTCTAGTGCATAACACTTTGGCGTTTGGAACTATGGACAGTGAGTTCGAGCTTCGGTGGAAACATCATCACTCACTGAGAAATGCAGGTACATTCAGATGATGAGTCCCAAACAGGACGAAATGCGCATCCTGGATTCCACTGCTAGTCACCATCCACAAATTAAATGCTAGTAAAATGCCCAGACACGACGAAGCATCTGCACAAGAAGCCGACATGTCAACCCCCAGACCGAGCACTTCGGTTCGATCAATCGACGTGAAAATCTAAAATTCAATTATACATTGTTTAATGTTATTCTTGTTGTAGAAGAACTTAAATATTCTAGTTAAGATGTTGCTTGAATACGACTATTTAAATCAGTGGAAGTGGAAAGACAGTTAGGTCTGCCACCAATGTCTATGAATTGACACACTTTTACACCAGAATTACGAAGTTTACCACATTATCCTTAGATCTAAATGTAATAATAATGACAGAAACTTCTTTCCCTATGATTCTGTCATCTGCTATAGGTATGATATTCCATCAACTGCTAGTCGGTTATCTGTTTCAGTTGTTTAAATTCACCTTCATGATGTTAGAGACTGTCAAACACCAACACTTGAATATCCATATGAGATGTACATATTTTGTCCTTGCTGTATGAGCAAATACTCACCCTTAACTGTTAATATAACCTATCACATAAGTCTGCAAAGATTTTGACCTTGACTTGTGTATTGATTTGAAAACTATCCTATTTTCAGTCTCAGTTACTGAATTGCTGTAGATAAAAGTTACATCTATCTGAGTGGAAACTAAAATAAACCCCCAAAATAATTTGAAATCGTTCATTTTGGTTAGTTAATTTAAGTCTTTATATTCGTTTTCCTAATAAGAGGCTGATATTATAGGTTAACATAAAAATTTATGGAGTATGCTGGTAGTACAAACCAGTATACAGTTTAATTCAAGAGTTAGAGCTTTCAATTGCATGATACAAAACTTCTCTTGTGTTTCCGTTCATTTTCATCATATCAATTACGCACTTAATGTTTTATGCACAAACATTAGAACGATTATTTTCACAATCAAATGCAGATTAGGTTTCATCATAGAATCTATGAATACTTCTCTGATGCCTTTTATTTTTAAGTGAGTGGGCGTAACTAAGTGTATCAGTCTAAGCATGAGTGTGTGATTATCTAAATATGTACGTATGTTTAATTATGAACAAATTGATGTAAACTAATAGATTCATAGAGGTTGTGTTAACACGTAGAGCTTATAAAAGCATCAGGTATACTACTTATTTATTTTCAGTAGCTTAATGAAAGATTACAAAATCTCGTCCAGGCATAATGTGAAACTACTAAATCTCATTTGGCTTCTTTTAGTAACTTTAGAAGTGCAGTAGTTCTCGGTGGAAATCTGAAATGCTGTTTTTTGTCTGTAGGCACTGGAAATTTATTTTGGATTACCCTTTTAACTATTCCTAAATAACAAAACAAACGCACTGCTAGGACACCTGCTCAAGTTTCCTAATGTGGGTATCACGCTGAGAGATAACTGACCATCGTAAACCTTAAGCAATTCAATATATTTGTGCACAATTTGTCAAAAATAACAAGAAAGTCAGCTGAAGATGATTCCGTGTATTATATAGAGTGAGTAACACTTTCATCTAAAAGTGGAGTAGCAATCTTACAAAGGAGATTATGAGGCGTGAATTCTGTGCCTGTTTATTAAGACCTGAAGAAGTTATCTGAAAGCAAAAAAATTAGTTCACCGAACTTCATTATCGAAGCCGCGTTTTCTTCGTTACAGACTTCTAAAGACAGCGGAGGTCTTGGCAATTCATGACTTAAATAGAAATAAAACTATGCAGCTGTCGAAAATGATTCGTCGAAAAGAATTTTTTTTCTTTGCTGCTATATCTTCTGAAGGAAGTGTTCAATGAAAAAGGGTCACCAAAGCGAGACTCACAATTCTTCTGATTCGAACATGACAGCTCATCAAAACTAGTAGACTCTATTAACAGAGTTCTAGGTCAGTATCTTGAAAATAGTAATTAAATGCGATAATATTATTATCTCCAGGACCAAACTTGAAATAGATTTTCTTTCTTTTAACTTGAATAACCACTATATACACTTTTCTGAAGTCCATTTTTGTGTGAAGAATTCAATACAAAATTCAAATAAAAAATCAGACATCTTTAGCTAGGTCGTCATAGCAACTATTGGGAATTAGGCATATTTAATTACTTTGTTGGTTGAATATATTGAGTTTGTTTAACACTTACTTATTTTATCTACCTTGCGAGTTGGTAAGTTTGAATGTCGTATGTAATACCTTCAGTATTATTTTACTGTACTGTAATTCCGAAAGAATTATGAACTGATAACTCACACTTTTGTATATGTAATGTAATATCTCTTCCATCATGCTGTCATTGCTTAATTCACTTTTATTACAACTTATGACCGGTCACTTAACACTGGGGGATGATAAAGCATAGATCTTAAATCTGCACATTTGTCGGAAATGTTGACAATCACCAACCATAACTAGTTTCACAGTTAGATTGTTTTTATTTCTTTCCTTCCCCCGTGGAACATAAGGCTTCAAGCTTGAACTCTGAAGTTTCAGTAGCGTTGGTGTTCTTTTTATCAGGGTGGTGTCGATAGTTTCACGCTTAATCTTTCCACTCTACAAGAATAACTACCGGCTAGGTGAGGTTTAGGAGTGTATCTACCGGGAATGTAACCTGAATCACGTGTGTGGTTGGTGAGCATTCTACCATTGAAACATTAATGCAATTAGATTGAGCTGTTTTAATTAACCGTATCCTAAGAGGATTTGAATTTGTAACTGTTAAATTTAGGTGTGACTAATAATCTATGGTGATTCAAAGTAAGTAATAGAATCTGTTCGAACAGTCACACAATCCATGCATAATATATGTGATACGCAATCACGCATTACTATCTGAAAGTTAAGCAATAGTGTAGATTTCAAGAATGATAACAAGGAGAATTTCATCATGAGCTGACATGAGTTAGGGAACCCCTGGAAAGCCTGGGAGTACTGGACAGCTGCTTCAACCTAGTTTGGGACCCGGTTGGTGCGTACTGATGAACAGTCCCAAACTAGGACGAAACCGCTGTCCAGTACCCCCAGGTTTTCCAGTGGTTCTCTAACCGATGTCAGCCCATGATGAAATCTTCTATTCAATCAAACAAAATCCCTACAAAACCAATACTTGAAAGTTAATCTGATGCTCACTAGTGACTGGCCCTATTCAGGCAGTTAACCTGGGGTTCTAGTGGGAAGCCGTGACCAGTAGGGTACAGTAGGTTGAAGATGAGACAGTAACTCATCGAAGAAGACATTGCGAAATGGTCGCGCCGTGTCTTGAATTCGCAGAAGTTAGAATTCAAGGACCATTGGATTGGGTCCCAGTGGCTAAATGGTCTACGAGCTAGCTCGCCTTGTAACCAGAAGGTCCTGGGTTCGAACCCTGGCGGTGGATGCGTACTGATGAAGAGTCCCAGACTAGGACGAAACAGCTTTCCAGTACTCTCTGGTTTTCCAGTGGTTCTCTAACTGATGTCAGCTCATGATGAAATTCTCCATGCAATGATAGCAAGGTTCTGTCAGTAGCAGAGGAGGAATATAACTATAATAGGTAACGATGGCAGAGAGAATAACAGTCTGAGTCACGAAAGGACTCGAACCAGTGGTCACTGAACCGCTGCCGAAAAGCTATCGTAAACAGTCTCATGACCAAATGTAACTGGATTGAAATAAATCGTAAAAATTCGAGAAAATAAGTTCCACACTAGTTGCCAATGAACACAGGTTTATCACTCATGTTATTATTTTGTAAGAAGCTGATTAATTCTAAGGAAGTTTCTATGATAAATTGACATTAAACGGAAAGTTGTCTCTGGCTTTAATTAGGCAATTCATCTATTCCAATTATGGAACATTTACAGAATCACAACTGAACGGTGTACTCCTTGACAGACCATTTTCTCTTTTATATCAATGTCTTCATATAACTTTAAAATGACTAGTAATGATTTGAGCCATTTTGTATATAGGTACTTGTTAAACTGATCATCAGAAACACCACAAATAGAAACCAGCAGATCCAATGAATAACAAAAATAAAATCAACAAGAGTAAATATTGTTGCATGTGAATATTCTCTTATGTTAGTTAGTATCAACCTAATTACAATAACAAAACAGAAAAGAAAAATACAGCAATAAGCTCACGAACCGGGATAAGTTTTGACGAATCGATACAGGATTGTGTGGAAGAAAGAGAATAATTTAAATTATGACTTCAAAATATCCTGTTCAACAGATCCATATAATTATATTATGTGTATTATAAATATAGGAGTAAACACTTAGAGTTACTTCAATTTAGACTAGGTTTTGGCTTTTTCGTCTTTTTCAATACTAATATTTAATGGTCCAGTGAATCCTGGATTCTCCATTTCCAATTTTCCTTCCTATAACCGAAACACAAGTGAAAGTGATACTTTTTGTACAATGTTTAGGAATAAATTGGTGCAATAATAATTATAACAGCACTAAAAATTTTGTTTGCACTCTAGTTATTGGGTCAGCCTTGATTAGCAGACACGTGTAATTTCGATTTAACAGAGGGGTTAGACAGGGTTGCCCAATCTCTCCATTTCTATTTTACTTTGCCACCGATGACATTCTGGAGTCAGCTCTGAAGGATGTGCATGAAGGTGGTGTAGATCTGCTACCTGGAGATAGACTTTTCGACCTCGAGTATGCAGAAGATATCGTCTTACTGGGCGATAGCATGCAGACTGCCCAAATCGCACTTAATCAGTTGGTGATCAGTGTCTGTAAGTATGGTATATGCTTTGCGCCGTCTAAATGCAAAGTACTGTTACAAGATTGGCAGGAGCCTGTACCTGCACTCACTCTTGCGGGTGAACCGCCTGAAGTTGTTGATAAGTTTGTGTACCTGGGTAGTTGTGTGAATGCTGGCGGAGGGGTGACGGATGAGATTTCCAACCGTATAATGAAGGCTAGGGTGGCATACACCAACTTGAGCCACCTGTGGCGTCGTCGCGATGTTAGCCTGGCTGTCAAAGGTCGGGTATACAATGCTTCGGTGCGGGCTGCGCTGCTCTACGCCTGTGAAACCTGGCCTCTCCGAGCTGAGGATGTGCGGCGACTCTGCGTGTTCGATCATCACTGTCTCCTCAGGATTGATTGCGTTCGATGGATGGCATCGTCGCGTGAGTAATTCTGAAGTTCGCCGGCGTGTGTTTGAGCACAGTGGAGATCACCATTCATTGAGTGTCGTCATCTGGAAACACCGGCTCCGGTGGCTTGGCCATGTGCTGCGAATGTCATCCCAGAGGCTTCCATACAGGTCTCTGTTCACTAGCCAGCCCTGGGACGGGATGGAAAAGGCGGAGAGGTGGTCAGTCCATGACGTGGCGTCGTGGGATAGAGGATTTTTGTGCTAGATTAGCATCGGTTGGTGTGTCACAACTCCCTGGTTGGGGTCCGAGAGATAGCTCAAATCGATGGCTCGAAACGTTATCGGATATATCCAAAAATCGTAATCAATGGCGAACGTGTTGCAATTTGTTTCTTTCTTCTCTTCCCGATGATAGTTAACGAATACTGTTTGAACTTGTTAAGCACGACTGTTTTCCTTCCAGATGAAGTTCTTTACCTGTTCTCTACTTATATATTTTTTCTTTTCTTTCTTTTTTTTCTTTTGATCTATGTTGTTTTATTATTATTGTGTGGCGCATCCTTCTTGGCGCCATATTGTACGAAGTTTTTATGCGTTTAAATAAATAAATAAATGTAATTTCGATTTGACCTTAATTAGTAACTAGTGTAATGCGTTTAATCCTTTGTTTGGTACAGATCGAATTCTGTCAGTCAAATTTGTAATGTGGCCACCGTACTAGGTGGCTCGCTATCACAGCGCAATTTAAACTGTTCATACTAGATGGCTGAAGGCAGTTGGCAGGAAGCCTTACACCTAGGTTTCGTGCTGGTTGGCACTCATCAACAAGGCGTATCCGCAGCCTCAGATTCACTCTACACCAAATAGAGAACTAGACGCCTAACACTAGTCACTAACTACCCAGTGTCCAATCAAAGTATCCAATAGAGTCCTACTGAGGGTCAAACGGAAGTCTGAATAGTTCAGCGGTGATGTCTATGACTGCAGCACTTAGTGACATGGGTTGTAATCCCAGAAGGGACACAAGTTACTTCGAGGCTGCAGATACGCGTTACTGATGAGTGCCAACTAGCACGAAACCTAGATCGAAGGCTTCTTACCGATATCCTTCAACCATTTAGTAAGCACATGTAATATATGACAAATGCAACTGCTGGAAGAAATCAAAACTTTGTATCACGAAGGATTTCACATCAAAGTCTCTGGTTTTTCCTCCGCAATCCAAGTTGCCACATTTGACATCTTATCAGCAATCATAGAACTTTCAGTTTTAGCCTGTTATTGTAGAAATAAGCTCTCTAATTTTGCATTACCCACAATTCATTCCTATTATCTGTTCATTGCTTGAGGTAAATAGTTGTAATATATATCAGCAATACATCAATGCTAATTTCTTTTTTAATATCCATATCTACGACATATTAATAACGTCCATATATAAGATGAATCACTCCGACCCACATAAATCACTGTGTTAAAGTACAACCCTCATCTTTAATGCATGTGGTATTACGTCGAAAATAAATGAAACTCGTTTTGTATATTTCTGAAGCTCTCATACATATGATGCATCATATCAGTAATACATATTCCTACTGGACTAGTAGGCGGTTAGATTCAAGTGTTATGTGAGATGCGATTGTTCGCATATAGCTATGCATCACTAGTGACTACTCACAACAAGAAAGTTACTTAAACGGCTCCCTTCAACAGATTACTTCAAGGCGTCTACAAACGAATACATGTTTTTCACCATTCTAAAATGAAAGAATTATTGTGTTACCTCAAGTGTTACTACTACAAACACAATTGGCAAGATTTCTACCTTATTTCAAACAAAGATTAGCCAATACATTCTTACTTACCAGTTTTAAGTCGGGATACAGCATTTTAGGGGGACTATTGCCTCTTTCAAGAACGTCTGAAAATCTACAATTACATCAAACAGGTAAATTTATAAATTAATTTTTTTTAAAGTTTTGCATAATAATAAAAAATTTTCCAATTCTGAGTTTCACTCTTAGTCGATAATTATCAGGTAGAAAAGTTACACTGATTGCATCGAAGATTGATTAGACACTGAATAATGTGACACAGCATTCTGACCAGTTACTTCGGTACAATAATTCAAGGCATTTGATAAAATGAATTCTAAGTATTTCTTCTAAATCTCGTCAGCCTACTTAAAGTAGTGTATGGGTGAAGTGTAAAATTTACAATCACATAAATAACTTAATGTAGGAAAGAAAGCTTAAAATACCATGGATTTTTCATAAAGGACTTTCTATATGCACGACTGAAAAGCTGGCTATAAAATACACCAGTTGTTATCTCTATCATGTTCTTCGCCTGCCATTTCAGAGCAGAATGTGTAATTAAAACGTATTTTTGAAAGACATTGATTTTTTATATTTTTTTTTATTTTTGATTTACAGCTTGATTCCACACTGTATTTTTGGTACAAGTGTGGAATTTTCAGCGTGGATATCGGTAGCCCAAATTTCGCAGGCCGACCATAGATATCAGGTGTGCGCCGGCATGGGCTCGAACCCTGGACCATGTGCATGGTCGGCGAGAGTCCTAACCACTGTGCCACCGACGCACGTACACTTTCAAGGGAGGAATTCGTTTGCAACCAATCTCCTAAAGCTCAAAATGAAGATATTACAATGAATACAAAGATCTATATTGGATACCTCACTGCGTTTTTCAGCTACTTTTAACCATCCACAATCACCTCAAAGTTTACTGTAATAGGGAGTCTCCTAGTTTCATGACCACATGACACACTGGATGGATAGAATTCGGTCAGCATTGAGGACTAGGTAGAGTTGTATTGTTTGATTCGCAGTCCCGGATTAGTGGATGTACACATTCAAAACGTTACGGTGGAATCTTGATCGAAAGAGTCGACTAGTTCGTTAGATCGAATTTCGAGATTTTCATCTATCATATTTTTTCATGTTTCATTTTTCAACTTATTGTCACACATAGTCAGAAGGTGTACATATTAAAGAATGAAATGCTAACTTCTTGAATATCACAAGTAAACTAAACAAAATCTAAGAAATCGAATAATTATCATAAAGGCAAAACCTGTTTAGCAGATTTATTCTTATCATATCTAATAGTTTCTACAAATGAAGATTATGCTATGACTTACGTGTATTCAGGCCCTTATATGTGGTGTGTAACGGTTGGCTGATAATTAGATTAAAGAAGCAATTTATTAATCAATATGGCTAATGCGAATGAATCCGCTGATGGCCATCAATATAGTTGTCAAGTCTTTAGCACTAAACGAGGACCTTGGAAGAAAGGTTCAAGCATATTGCATTCAACAACGTTTAGTGTTAGATGCTCATTACTGAAGAAATCTGTTTGTAATGTATTCCTGAGAACGTTGACAAAACTTACCCCCCCCTTTAGAAATGTGAATTTGCATTACTCTATAGAGAAGTTAGAAGCAGTAATGACTATCCTATACATGACTAACTGTTTAAGTGTAGAAACAGTTGCGATTTAAATTAAATTCGTAATTTGCAAGTTACACAGTTGGAAGTTAAGTTTCATCACAGTTTCATCTGGAAATCAAAATAATTCATATGGTATGCATAAATTGCTAATTGCGGATTCGATTTGACGTATTACCAGTTTGCAAATGTAGCTAACCGGAATCAAGGTGGTCTGAACTCATATGACTCTCGGAGCTGATATCAAACTGCGTTAAATGGCCACAAACAAGTGAAACGGTCGTCTTCCATTTAAGTCATTCTGATTTGGCTAGCAAACACTCTTGATTGATGTGAGTGGTGAGAACATAAATTCTGAAATTTCAAAAGTGTAAATAAATATGACTAAGCGGTAAAAGCAGCCATAATGCCACGTGCTATGCTGAAATGAGTGAGCTTCAATGACTTAGTCTAGCAGAACCCGAAGGCACACTAAACTACAATCCTATAGAAAAGCTTACTCAAGAAGCTTACAATCAATACATGAGTTTAAGTGGTGGATGGTGACTAGCCATGGAATCCAGGATGCACATTTCGCCCTGTTTGGTGCTCGTCACTGCATGTACCTGCATTCTACAATGAGTGATGACGTTTCCACCGAGGCTTCAACCAAGTGCCCATTGTTTCATGCACCAAAGCGTTATCCACTAGACCACTTTAGCCACGACAACCACCTCTTGCGGAACGGGTCAGATTAATTATTTAATTGAGCCTCGGTGGGAACATCATCACTCACTGGGGAATACAGATACATCCAGCTGATGAGTCACAAACAGGACGAAATGCGCGGTATCCTGGATTCCACTGCTAGTCATCATCCACCAGTTAAATTCTAACTACATGCCCAGACATCGTTGAAGCATCTGCACAAGAATCCGACATGTGAACTTGAGATCGAGCACTTCGGTCCAATCAGTCGACGGGAAAATCCAAAATCCAATTAAACAACCCATAAGTTGTTTGGATTACTCTACAGAAGGCATACAGCAACCACTAAACTGCAATAAAATCGGGATACTCTTCAAACCGCATTTTTGCACACAACTGGCAGAAAATTCAAGTGTCTACGCTGTACTATACTATTAAGTACATCCTGCTTTTGGAATATATGAAAAGTATGTCTCCGTTAACAGTTATCCAGTGGTGAAAAATAAGAAATTTCAGGGAAGCATTCAGAACACAATCCTCTATTAAAATATATAAATCGAAGTTATTGATTTCCAAAACTGGTTTGGTTGACACTGGAAACGATTACTATGGCATAGAAATTCAAGAATGCCAATACTTGTAAAAATGTAGGTCTAGGCAACCGTTTCATTGGTTGGTTAAAGTAAGCTAATTTACCACACTTATACATATTGCAGGAGGTGATTACTAATATATATGTCAATTAATTTTTTCTTCATATGCATAGAAATATACAGCACACAGGGACAAACAAAAACGTTACACTTTTCGAAGCAATAACTTTTATTTAATTCACGAAAGTAATTATTGTTTCGAAAGTGAAATCAATAAACTCTTGAATGTATAATGTTTTAATAACGCCTTTCTGTTCGAGTAATATTTTCCTGGTATAAAATTTAAATATTTCTTAGAAAGGTGAGTATTACGCCTAGCTCATATCAGTCACACCCTTCTGACACAAATATACATAAATTTCTAGTGTGTTCCGAAGGATCCTTCTTACATACTGAAGAAGAAAAGATATCATTCACCTTTAGCTAAATATATGTTGACTGAAATTCTTTGAATCATCTAAGCTTCGCTCGGAAACATACTTTGCAGTAAAGTAATTCACACAAGATCGGAGATCTTACAAACCATGGGAGTCGGTTAATAGTATGGTTAACTCAAAAGAATATTCACAGTTGCCTTGACAATGTGATGTTGTTTAACTTTAAAAAATAGGGACCATCGAATTAGCATGTCATTTTCCGTTAGAAAATGTATTTTAGGTATATTATTTGTTGTCTAGGTATCCAGGGTTTCACAGCTTAATCTTCTGAAGTGTTATGGAAATGCATCATTGAACAGTCTATAACTGGAACAAAACATTTTGTCAGTAATTCCTGGTTTCAGTGATTCTATAGGAAACCAACGAACTGACGAATCTCCACAAATTCAATAACAGTTTCTGTCTCGTAAATTGTCACCTCTTAGAGATTGAAGAATAGGAAATTAGGTGGAAGACATTTATTTTTACGACCAACGTTTTTCTGCAGTACACATTCTGGATAAAATGAATGCATGCTTGAGTTCTGAAAACTGATATATATATACTTCAAGGGATGGAATTATTTCATGCTTTATAGCGAAACGTGATAAATATGCCGTAAAAATTCACAACTATTAATAATGCGCTATCAAAATAGAAAAGTATGTTGAATGTAACTCAGAGTAACATTTAGAAGGGCAAATCAATCCAGCTAAATTGTAACAAGGGAAAGATCAGCATATTGAAACGATCGTTTCCTATACATTTTATTCTCTTTTAAAGTTACTTATGCATAGAAATAAACAAAATAAATTGAATTTTACACTTCAGATTTAGTGATTTTTGAGGGCATTGATTAGATCATAAAAGGCTTTTTAAAAATTACTAATAATACCCAAACAATATATTGATTATGGATATGCACAAAGTGTTGACTCTGATAAGGATATATTATTTAAATATTTGAAAATGAGTGTTAGCTGATCTCATTTTGGGACTTCCAAGCACAAATTAATCAACAAAAAAAGACACATGGAGTTTTACAATGATAAAATTGTATACTAAAATGGAAAAATTCACTAAAAGTTTCGAAGCACCGATAAAATTATCGTGTAATTTAGTCAACTATTGCTACTGACATCCAGTGGACTGCTCAGAAATAAACAGGCCTTTTCCTTTTCTGAGGGATCAAAATATTGAATTACCTAGGTAATCGCTAGCTACTTAGCTGTCTGATAGACTTGGTAACTTCCCTCAACGGCATACTTCGTTTTATCATAGTAAATAGTCCAAGAAGACGCTCATTGAACTAGCTCCCATAGTTCGAATCAGTACATAATACACGTTGTATCTAAAACGTTTAACTGAGTAAAGATGTCTATTAAAAATTTCAAAAGACTAATTACTGAATCAGAAAACATTTTTTTCGATAACTTCTTCGCAGTTATATGCCCATAATAATTAAAGAATCACTGTTATTAAAGTTTTAAATAAAATCGAATTGACAATATCAACAGATTACAGTTCAAAAGCATCTGTGGGTGATAATAGGCATAAATATGTAATACAAAACTGACTATCAGACAAAATAAGAAGAATGATAGAGAGTTCAGGAATTTATAGATTTCACAGCAGTCCAGGATAACAATCGTATCTGGACCTATTTCTTTTGCACACAGAGCTGTGGTTGTTTAAAGCCA